CGGCGCCTTCCTCTCCGGCCGACCAAGCCCGCCCCGCGCCCCGCGCCCCGCGCCCCGGGCCCCAGACCCTGGCTCTGCTCAGCTTCACAGGTGCCAGCCTCTCCTCCGCCGGGGACTCCGCGGCTGCGGCAGCCCCAGCACTCCTCCCTCCCGGCCGGCTCTCTCCCACTCAGGCCGCGGCGCGACGGCTCCGCCTCGGGACGGCCGTCCCGAGCGGCCCGCGGGCGGCGCGGCCATCCCCGGCGCCTCCCCGAGCCTCCCTGCCTTCGCGTGCCCGCCACTAGCGGAGTCGCCCTGCGGCCGCGACGACCGGCTGGCCGACGCCCTCCGCACGCAGACGCCCGCAGGGCGGGAGCCTCGGCTTCCTTTTCAGCGACGCGTTCCCAGGGCTCAGAGCGACGTGGGGCCCAGGCCCGGCCCGAGAGAATCATCCAGACGTTCTCCACAGGCGGATAAGCACGACGCCAGACGACGACGTTTTTAATTAAAGCAAAATACTGGCACGGAAAGCACTCTACTGTTCTCTTTATGTTGACCGCTCCCATTCTCCTAGTTCACACAGGACACTTCTCTTTTCGGAACATTATTGGGTCGGTGTAAAATACGGAAACCCTTTTACAAAGTCGTGGTTTAAAAATTATCTGGATAACATTCTTCATCTTCTAATGCAAACCCAGTGGAACCTAATGCAGCTAGCTGTGACTCGGCAAAATGCTGCTCTCAGGGGACCTGCCGTCCCCAGCACCTTCTCTGAACACACACACACTGCGTCCGATCCCAAAACCCGCCACTCTGAAGCCTTTCTGTTCACCACATGACAAGGGAGTGGTCAACTCACCATTTACTGCTCGGCCTCAGACTAACTTGCCAGCTTCACCCAAGCCAAGAAGTGATGGAATTCCAACCACTAATCGAGTTCATTTCATGAAAGTCATCACCAAAGTTGAGATTCGCCCCTCATCCACCAACTCCTATTATGAAAGGGCATGTCCAGTTGGATTCAGGCTCAAGAGACGCGTTTCATTGTGACTCTAGCACTCTCAGGTCCCTCTCATTCCGAACCACAGCAGAAAACTTGGTGATGTGCTGCCGTCATTACCACTATCATTATGACATCACTTAACACCTTTACAGCAATGAGGCATCTAACAGGCAGTAAAGCTCAAAGCAACCAACGGATGACATTTTCTCAGCTCAAGTGTTTCCTGTAACATTTTATTTTTAGCATGCTGTAAAGGTGTAATACTCTACCTCAAAATGTTTTAAAGGTTGACCACATTAATATTTTTTAAATATTATTTATAGACCGGGCTCGGTGGCTCAGACTGTGATCCCAGCACTTGGAGAGGCCAAGGTGAGTGGATTGCCTGAGCCCACGGGTTCGAGACCCGCTCGGGCAACTTGGCGAGACCTCATCTCTACAATAAATCAAAAATTAGCTGAGCATGGTAGCGCGTGCCTGCAGTTCCGGCTACTTGGAAGGCTGAGGCAGAAGGATCACTGGACCCAGCAGGTAGAGTCTGCAGTGGGTGGGAGTGTGGCCACTGCACTCCAGTCTGGGCAACAGAGTGAGACTCTGACTCAAAAAAAAAAAAAACCACACTCAGTACAACTAGTTATTAGTAAGTACTGAAAATATCGCTACATCATACCAGATTTCAAAAGCCTAAGGAAAATACATCTATCCTCTATCCGCCATCCAACTTTGAAATCTGTAAACATTTTGAATAGGGTAATTTCAAATGCACTCAGTCAACACATAGCACTTGTCCTATTTTAAATTAGCTTTCTAACCTCACATGCCAATACAAAAAAAAGGAGGGGGGGAGAGGGAGGCTTTTATTTGACCTTTGTATGAAAATGAAAGAAAATATTCATTGTATTTTGGTTCATAAACACAGTTACTCTGGAAAGCTGAAAAACTGAATTAAAACCAAAAAAATTAAATCCAAAAAGTTGTATTTTCAAATCACAGTTATTATTCCTATTTGGTTTTCACTGCCATTTCCTTAAGAAGAAAATTTCCTCTGATTTTTTAGAAAACTGGTTCTATATTACCTTTGGTTTCTCCTTTAGTCTAGTTACATATTTGTATAAACAAACCAGTTTCAGGACACCTAGAGTTAACCCACATATTGAGATAAACTCACTTTAATATCAGTAATTATTTACTTAATCCCTACCTTCACATCGCCCCTCAGGACCAAAAAGACTGCTGATAATTCAGTCAACAGAAGACTGATTCCCTTTGCTTTCAGACAAGCCCTAAAACTGCTCAAATTAGTCAAAAGGTATAGTGGACAACATCTCAAAAATATACATGTTCTTCAAATTTTCAGAATGAAAAAAGATCCCTGCACGAATCAACTCAGGGGTCATCTTGACCTGAATTCACCATCTGCTCATGTGCTAAAGAAAACACACAAGATAGCCAGGCTCGGTGGCTCAGCCTGTAATCCCGTGCCTTTGGGAGGCTGAGGTGAGTGGACGGCCTGAGCCCGCGGCTTCCAGACCCGCCTGGGCAACTTGGCGAGACCTCATCTCTCCAATAAATCAAAAAATCAGCCGGACATGGTAGCGCGCGCCTGTAGTTCCGGCTACTCGGAAGGCGGAGGCGGAAGGATCGCCGGGGCCCAGCGGGTCGAGGCTGCGGTGGCGGGAGCGGCCACTGCACTCCAGTCTGGGCGACAGAGGGAGACTCCGACTCAAAAAGAAAAGAAAAGAAAAGAAAACACAAGCTTTGCATCTATGGCATAACTTTTTAAAAGTTTAACGTATGTAAAATAATTTTACATATTTATGTTGTGCGAAAATAAAGAAACAGAATAATCACATCACTACTGCTATAAAAAAAATGCATTCTCAGCATAGAGCTGAAAAAGTGTTCATTGGAAAGGCATGGCCTGGCTTACGAATGGTTTACCATGGTCAACGCTGAAATAAAATACATGCTTTTGTAAAGATAAAACGTTCAGATTCCTTAAATGTGAGAAACACGTTCCACGTATGCCGCGGAAATGTCCAGAGGCTGCAACAGGACACCAACAGTCCAAAGTTAAGTAACTTTATCACTAAGATGTTTTCTTCTTCACGGAAAACAACGGAAAACTGGGCACAACACTTCCGCGATACACCTCCCAACCAGCTACCATTCTCAGAAATCAGTGTTGAGAGGGCGGGCTAGAAGGACATTCCAGACGGCTTCTGACACGCACGGATGAACTGCAGCCGCTCCCTCCAGCCCCCGGGGCGAGTGAAGTCGCCTCGGCCTCGCTCGAGTCACGTCGGGGGCAGGGTCTGCGAGCACCGCCAGCTCGGAAACCGCTGAGCCGCAGCCTCCGCGGGACAAAACGCAACTGCGGAGACACAATTCCCGACACACCCGTGTTTCCACCAGTGCACGCTCACAGGAACCTGAAGCTTCCGGAAGCGCGGCAGGACTGAACGCAAGCGGGCGACTTCAAACCTCGCTCCGGGCATCATTCAAAGCTCCGGGGCAGCCCGGCTTCGGCGCCCGGCGCGTCCAGACGGCGCCAGCGCCCGCCCCCTACACCCT